GTGCTTGCTTACATGGAGCCAAGCCAGTTTCAATATCTAGCACTCTGTACAGTTGTGGTCCCTGAGTTCAAAACCAGAAGAAAGCTCTAAGCACTGTTGGATGTGGTCAGAAAACAAAACAAATACAAAAATAGAATGTTATAACTAATTATTTAATACTATTCAGAAATAAGATAGCAGTCTGAAGTTCTGGGGATTAGAATATCACCTTTTAAAATTATTTTGGGAGTGGAGACATAATTAAACCAATTACAGAGAGCAAATAAATTAATTTAATAGGACTCCAAAATAAGTCACCAAATATAAACTTGTGGCTGCTAGGATTTAAGAGTTTACAGGCAGCAGTATCTGCAGTAACACCACAGACCATGGTAAATCACAAAAGGCTTTATAACTGGAACAGAAACGTACCTGGAGCCAGGTATTAATCTGCACTGTGACTTTAGTCTTTGCCCTGCCACAAAGGCAGGGTGGGGTGGGGAGATGGGGGGTGGGAGGGATACTGAGATTAGTGTTGGTGGAGAATGGGCACTGGTGGAGGGATGGGTACTTGATCATTGTATAACTGAAACCCAAGCACAAAAATTTGTAAATCTACAACTGTACCTCATGGTGTTTCACTAATAAAAAAAAAAAAAAGAAATTAGGAAGAAGAGCAAATGGAATTAAGGAGCACTAGTGTCTCCAACAGCTAAGAAAATAAAAGCAAGCAGCAAAAGATAATTACAAAACAGAGGTCATCACCAAGGACACAGAGCTTTATTGAAAATAAAATTGATCAAGAAAATAGATCAAGTTTCAGGAGAGGAAAAAAAAGGATTGTTACCAGTTTGAGATATCAAGAGGCTTCATGAGGAGTTACAATGTTCACAGAATGGCTAAAATCCACTTGAGGTCCCAAGGTATCGTTATTCTAGATACTAAAACTACCTATTTAAAAGGCAGCTGGGATAGAGAAGGGACCACCAAGTAAATGATGCTTGGAGGGCTCACTAGGCATGGGAAATGCGTGCTGAAAGTAGACTATGGACCAAACATGATGGCCACTTACTACCAGTGTTGCAACTCATAACACCCACAAGGAGAGAGAGAGTAAAAGAGAATGTGTCTGCCAAAGAGAGGTGGTGATAGGGGGGTTGTGGGAGGGATGCTGGGAACATTGATGATGGAGAAAGGGCACTGGTGTAGGGATGGGTACTCGATCATTACATATGACTGCAATGGAATAAAAAGTTTGAAAGTCTGTAACTGCATCTCATGGTGATTTATTTAAAAAATTAAAAATAAAATAAAAATTAATTAAATTACTGTATCTTGTGTTTAGGAACTTTCGTACCCTGAGGCAGTGTGATCTCCAGGAATATGAGTGTGAATGGATAAATATTAAAGTTCCAAATTGCTTCTTCATGGTAATAACAATCATTTTTACAATGTACCTTTCTAGTTATAGTCAGCCTTACTCTTGACATTTCCACAGGATTCACATATTGTTCGTATTCAGGATCACATATTATTCCCTAAGCCACAAACGAAGAGAAATTTACTTCTGAATTATGGGCGATGCAATAATTAGATGCAGCATTTAGAGTTGTTTATTGCTCCTGTCCCAGAAATTGAGGTGAATCATTCTCAGAAAATGCCCTTTGCTTGCATTAGTAGACAGAGATGTTGAAATTAGCAAAGCATGGGCACGAGAGGCAAGATTGTTCACCAGTCCAACTCTCTTCATGCAGCCAAAGTCACACTCTGCCACTTCACTCAACTTTTATAAATGCATACACACACATACATGCTTTCACAGGCACATATGCAGACACAAGAACACACAACGCCTTTCTAAAGAAAAGTTTTAAGTTTAAAACTCATGTGGTTACCTGGTGTGTGCAAACCACCAAATGACTTTCTAGAAATTGTGAAGGATTGCCCAGTTAGAATGCTCAGTGCCTTCAAAGTCATGGTGTTTGATCCTCTCATTTTGACTTGATTAAACTGAAACTTAAAGAAGCTAAGAGGGTCGCCTGGAATGACACAGCTTAGATGACCTCTCCTAATATGGCTGAGTCACAGTGTGAAATGTGGCATACTATGTCTCTATCATAAAAGTCCCAGTCATTGTGCTTTTTTTTCTCTTAGTAAAATGAAAGAGAACATTTCATGCAAATCAAGTATGTTAATGGTGTCCTCTTGAAATATAGCAATGCAGATCTTTATTCATGTTATTTTTTACAATTATCTATTAGCATAAATATGACCAATGCAATTAGTAGTTTCTAGCACTTTATTGGCTAGTTTTTTGGAATGAGGGATGTGGACAGCAAAGTAGAGATTTATAGGAAAGAAAAATAGAACAACTAGAAAGACGAAGGAAAGAATACAAATGGGAGGTAGAGATGAGAAACCAAATATGACAGTCACAAGTTGTTTCAGCCTGATTACAATAACTTTGCCTACACTGTAAAATTAGCTGTTACACTATCAAAATTCTTTCTTTGAGTAAAACAGACTCTACTCAGTTTCTTCTAAGCAATCCTGGTCTACCTTCTGTCATTTTGATCTCATTCTAAACTAAAGCCATTGTTTCGAGTGAGGGTCTTCCCTACCAGGTGCAATGAGGTAAAGAGAGACAGCAAACAGGCGAGATTTGGAAGGAAATCAGTAATATTCAGGAGCGTACTATCTCCAGAGGCTGGAGCGATAGCACATTGGGTAGTACTTTTGCCTTGTACACAGCAGATCAGGGTTCTATTCCTCTGCCCCTCTCGGAGAGCCCCGAAAGCTACGGAGAGTATCCTGCCCACGGGGCAGCCTTGTGGCGTATTTGATATGCCAAAAACAGTAACACCAAGTCTCACAATGGAGACGTTATTGGTGCCTGCCCAAGTAAAATAATTAATGAACAACAGGACGACAGTCCTACAGTGCAGTGCTACTATCTCCAGAGGTACCATAAAGTTATGACTGAAACATAGGTGGTGAAGAGATGCTGAAAGATTTAGAAAATGATCCTCCCTGATCCTTTTTGGGGTAAAATAATTTCTAAGAATATTTGTTGTTGTCAGCATATCCCTTACTGGCTATATCAAGTTGTGGGAAATTTTCCCCACGCTTAATCTCTTTCAGTCCTTAAAGACATCTCGAAACAGTCACAGGGAAATTAAAACTGTTAAGAGGTTGACAGCTGCTCGGAGTAGGGATGAAGGCAATAACCATTAATGTGACTTGAAGTAATAAAATAAGTTGATTTAAGGAAAAGGAGCATGTGAACATTATAAAGAAGCAAGAAGACTCACTTCTGTAAAGATTCATAAGCAAAATGAGTTTCAAGGGATCCAGTTATTAAGATCCATGGAAAAGATGTCTCAAGGGTTCTGTTACTCTCTACGTCAATCATTCCTATCATGAATTAAATACAGGATTGTATTCCACCTTGGGTGCAAATCTTTAAAAAGTTGTGATGAAATTTAGCTATTTCGCTTAGTGCCCTTCCACAAATTCTTTTCTTCTAAAAGAATTTTGTCCTAAAAACCTTCTTCTTTTTCCTCTGCTACTTAACGTCTGCTAAATTTTGGTTTAGTTCACTAGATTTTTTTTTTTGGCATGACCTTAATTCTTTGTGACATTTGGAAAGTAAATGTTTGTGTAGATGTTCTTTTTTTATTTGTTTCTAGTTGTTAAACTGATAGCAAGATTTTCTTGCAGTCTTAGTCCATCTGAAGTAAATACTCACTTTCCATCAGACTTTTTTACTGATGTGATTACTGTGTTATTTGTGCAATATTGTTGTTTCTTTAAAAGGTATGTAATTTGCCAAGTTCCAAAATATCTTTTATAGGCGCTAGAGAGCTAGTAGAGACAGGACAGCTGGTAAGTACTTACCTTGAATGCTGCTCAGAACGGTGTTGCTCCCAGGCACCCTTCACACTCCCCACCAGGAGTGACCCTGAGCACAGAGTCAGGAGTAACCCCTAAAAACAGCTGATACGAGCAACCCCATCAAAAGAAACAGAGGTTTTAGGGTACAATTCTTTTTTAATTTGTTCTCCTAAAATATTTGTGTTCTGTCTGTCCGCTTTGTGGTCTTATTTTGTTGGCTTTATAATCCCAACAGATTTTCAGTGTGTTTACCAGGAGCTATAAAGCAAAGGATATGTAACCTCTCTTCCCATTTAAGTACCATGGTTTAGTTGGGTTTTGCTTTTAATTAGTATTTGAATGAAAGAGATTTGAGACCACCTCACCTAAAGGGGCATTTGTTAGTACCAGGACTTTTCTGAACCAAACACCTGCCCTGTTTAGCTGGAGGAAACACTAAATTCAGCAGACGCTAGGAATTTTGCCAAAGCCCTTCCCCTTCAGTCCTTGGGATGCTGGTCTTATGGGGGCTCGCTGGGACAGGTCTAGTGCACGCAGGTTTCTAAGGTATCAAAAGAGTCACAACTCAGCCTCAGGAACCGGATGAAGATTGGGAACCAAACCCCCAGGAAAGTCCGAAGAAAGATAGAATCAGTGGGAGATCCCAGAGAGCATCAATGAGAGACAGCAACCACCACAAGACGACAGACAGACAGACAGACAGACCATCGAAAGAGGGAACCGAAGGTCTGTGCACCCGGGGTAGGGGGTGGGGAGGCCTGTGGGCACTGCCAGGACGCCCCGAGGGAATGGGGTGAGCGACTCCTGGGTTGCTGTCTGTTGGAGAGAAAGAGCAGGGAGGGAGGGACCGAGGGACCGAGGGACGCGGGACCTTGGGCGGGGAGAGAGGGATTCTGCCAGGCGCTTCCACCAGGCTGGGGCGACTCTGGCTCCCTGACACTCAGCTGCGCGAGAGACTTGGCGCCTGGGCCCAGGACTCCTGCGACATTAGAGAGGGCAAAGGCTAGGGCGCTTGTGGGGGTGTCTGCAGCGCCTGGGGAGGAGCGTGTCCCCAACCCCCAACCCCCAGTCCAGCCGCGCTCGCTCGCAGCCCCCGCGCCCAGCGCGCCCTGCGCTGTCGCTGCGCGGTCCCCGCGCGGTCCCCGCGCTCTGCTCCAACCACCGACTTCCAGTCCTGGGCGGGCACTTGCCGCCTTTCTTCTCTGTGCGCCCGGGCCACCATGGATGACAACTCCCTCCTCGCGGTGCCAAGGTAAGCCGCGCTCGCCGTCAGCCCACCTTGGCCCCGCGCACTCAGCGGAGTGCTCACCAACTTGCCCCAGGGAGCGTGTTGGTCACACACACACACACACACACACACACACACACACACACACACACACACACACACACGCACACACGCACACACACATCCCGAGAAGGGGATGCTGCTGCTGCACTGGGCGTGAAGTCAGGCGCCGCTGGACCAGCTGCTCCGGGCCAGCGCGCGGTGCCCGGTCCCTTGCCCCAACGCTGGGCGCGGCCTGGCGCTGAGCGACCCCCGCAGCGGGCACGCGAGCAGGGGTCTGGGGTCAACCCGACCCCCAGCTTCTTTCTGATCGCTTTTGATCGCCGCGGGAAAGGCTTTTGGGCTGTGCGGAGACCGTTTCCCAGGTAGGGAGAGAAACGGGGGCGCTAAGGATCAGGGCGAGGCACCGCCTCCTGGTTCAGCCAGTCTCAAGCGGGTGGGTGGGGAGGGGGTCTGCAGTGACCGGATGAGCAATGCCAACGGGGAGACCTGGGGAGGGCGTGGATACCAGGAAAGTCCCCCCCAACCAACCCCGTGATTGACAACTGGGACTGGAATTGAGTCTTCTCCAGCGTCACCCACCTCTGCTGCCAGGTGAGCACCTCGGGGAGTCTGTGAGCCAGGGGTCCCCGTGGAGGGCAGGGCAGAGACACCAGCGGAGCTCTGGCAGGGTGGAGCAGAGGGCGTTTTTAGCTTGTCAGCTCATGATTCTTTCTCTCTTTGCTCCTTCCCACTCAAGTCCCTGCGCCTGTGAATTTTAGGAATGGACAGGCATCCTGCCTTATCTCTCCCAGAACCCTAAATCCCTGGGGGTTGGGGGGGGCGCATGGAGGTTATCCAAGTGATGATGGAGTGATGATGGTGCTCCCAAGCTCACCCCCAAGCTGAGGAGAGAGGGGTTCGGATGTTGGTGATAGGTGCAGAATCCAGGCTGAGAAAATGGACACTGTTGCTAGGTGGATGTAGGGTCTTCCTATGCCCACCCTGCCCACCCTCCAGTTTCCTATGCAGAGGGTTTAGGGTTGACCCCGTTGCTGTCCTGGCGTCCCCCTCCTCCCCAGGAGAACCGCTGGGCATCTTCCAGTGGGCACTCAAACACTGGGATCTACATTTTTTTTTTTTCAGCTGCTTTCTTGGAGAGCAAGAAAACCCAACATCCACACACCAGAGCACACATGTAGCTGATACTATAATGCCAGGGAACCGGATTGGTGGGAATGGGGGTGGCTGAAGACAGAGGAGGTTGCTTTTGGGTGCTTGAAGGCTGCCATCTAGAGACTCTAAGTGCTCTATCCTGTGAGCAAGTAGAGCTTGCTCAACTCCACAGGCTCTTTTCTCTCTGCATGGGCGCACTACTGCTGGCGTGTGTGAGCGTGTGCATCTGTGTTCTACGTGTGAACACACGTGCGCGCCCCTGGGTTTGCTGCAGTTTCTGTGATTGTCTGAAACTGCTTTTCAGTAAGATTTCCTCTAACTCTTCCTAGAACAAGATCCAACTCTCATTGTCTTTCATTCTATGCCAAGCATGCCAAGGATTGGAATACCATAGAAAGATTGATTTTCACTTTTCAAAATGGGTCCACGATTTTTAGGTACATTTGTGAGGCCTTTTGAAAGTCAAATTCACCCAATAAAATCAGATGGATCTTTGTGGCTCCCACATTCCAGGGAAGAGCCTTTTAAAAAAGATGAGCTTGCTTGTTTTCAATCCAATTTTATAGTCAGTACTGTGTGCCTAAGTCAGGATTATATTACTGTTACAAATATGGGTCATTTTCTAAAGTCTCAAAACTACATCATGTCAACAATTTCTTAAATGTTTCTTGCAGTATGTGTTCCGTAAAAATGACCTTACCAGCTGCAAAGAAAAAAGAAAACTGCAAAGACTGTTGCTCTGTATCTGGTATTTGCCTCTAAAAATGTTAGTATAGATTGGACATCAGCTGCAGCAAATTCAACCTTTTATATCTTAACTATGTATTGCTCAAGGCAAGCCACATTCCACAATTCACTGTAGTAATTCAGCTATTTTATTAGCACTCCAAATATTCAGTTAAGTCCAATAGATGAATTCATTTATCTGCTATTTCCTGAGTACCATAAATATAATTTCTTTCTCTTAAGATTTATAAAGCAGTTGAAGATCTTCTGTATAACCACTGGAGAGAGTAAATCACAGTGTTTAACTAATGCAACGTGTTTATTACAGAATATATCTGGTGTTGTGACATCTTTAAAATTTTAATACATGATAGTTGGAATTTGAATTAAGCTATATTCTATGAAAACTGAACTCAAACTTTTATTTATTTATCTTCCTCAGTGACTTTAAAGCATGGTTCTTAAGGATGGAATTTATATGGTTTTTGCTTTCCCTCAGTGGAAGCTCTAGTTTCACTATGAAAATGTTTTCATTTGTCAGTGTACTGGATCATGTTTGCCTTTATCATATATTTCTTTAAAACACCTGATGGTCTAGACTGGGAAGTGACTGCAGCAGCAAAGCTAAACTGTGGGAAGATAGAACTCTTTCTATGCCAGTTGTTTTACAGGCCCAGAATCGAAGTATTTCTGACATGTATTTAAGAAAGAAAAGGAAGTATATATACAATGCATATATAGATAGATAAATATATATATATATATTTAAGTTTTGGTACAGACCTTTTAGTCATCTGTTTTGAATATTTTATTTGATTTGCTAAAGAAGGTAAAATAAAAGCCAACAATACTCAACCAGTATGATCTATCACTGTAGTGCATTATCCAATAATTACAGAAGAACGTCAATCTCATTACCTTGGTAACAAGTATGTGTAGAGTTTATATTTTACAAACTTACTCGAGTAAGGTTTATATTTTGCTGCATGTTATTCCATAATATTAAATTACTTCAAGCACACATCCCTGTAAGTTAATATAATGATATGCCCTTCTTAACTGAAAAATTTGAAGTTAAAATATATATATATACATATAGAAATATGTATATATACATACACACATACATATATGCTTATTCCTAAATGTCTAGACAATAGTATATAGCAGATACAGGATATCCACAAATTTCTCATTTCAGGGTCAGTTTTGCTGCTGACTTGGGAGAAAGGATTGAAATCCATTCTTTTCAAAATATTAGGAGGTGGGAATAGATTCTGGTGAAGAGTTTGGTTGTCAGACATTGATAATATTAGACACAAGGGGGCAGCCTAAAAGCAAGATCATCTTTTAAAGGCAACAAGTGAAAATATTTTTTGCAGACAGAAATCATTTGCCACCATGACCTGAGTTGCATTTAAAGCTTAAGAAAGAGGATTCTTTCCCTTTTTCCTTACTTCTTAAATCAGTTACATGTTTATATACTGCAATGTTTGGTTCTTTATCTTTTAATTGATTTGCTGGATTCTATTTGATAATAATATTTTATATAGCAATTGGAATACCACAGATAAATTTCTGAAACAATAATACATTTTGACTTAGATGTTTGTTTATTTTGACAAATTAAAATCAACCTTAAGCATGTTATTATAGTCCATTGCAATATCAAGGTTTTGTATTTAAGAATGTTGAATCTAGAGAAAAACAAATATATATATTTTTTACTTTTACAATGGAACAGCCAACCCAATACTGTAAATCAGTCTAAAGTCTTCCATCAATAATATCATTGAAAGATTATATGTTTTTCATATGTATGTGAAAAAATAAATTCAAGATTAGTTATATCCTGTGTTCTACTTATAAAAAGCCTCAGAAAAAAAGAGCAAAAAATCGAACAAATTGAGGCCTGAGGTAGAAATCATATGCTGTGTAAGGTAAATTTAGGATCATTCTCTATCCAAAATGCATACTCTCTTTAAAACCTGCACTGACATGTTCATAGGCGCTATTCATAATTTTCCAAATTTCTGCTAAGAGGTACTATTTAGATAGAGAAAGAAATTCATAATAAATTAGATACCAGCATCTTGGTATCTCGGACGCTGAGATCCTATGTTGCTGTCAGGTAATGAATACCTGGAGAACAGGTGAGAAATATGAAAGCAATTTATCACAGAAACAACACTATTAAAATACCACATCTATAATCCATCTTTAATAATTCTTCACATATGACTCCCCCTTTTGGTTCTTTAGTAAAACATGTATCTGCTACCTAAACAAAACAAAACAAACAAAAAAACAAATTGTAAATGAACAACAAAACCCCGTATTATTTACTTCAGGTAGCTTTTGTCTACTACTTCGACCTGTGCTGGATGAACAGAGTTTTATTCCTGATGATTAGATAATAGCTGTACATTACAAGAAGAGAACAAAGAAAAGGGGAATATTTTATATCTGGAGACCTATTCTTGAGTCCTTGTCAGAAATTAATGTCATTGAACTCCTAGGCCAGTTCTTAAGTGTGGCTTGTCTCTCTCTTCTCCTGGACACAATTACATATACCCAACACATATGAATCTTTTATATACCTCTTACCATAATTTTCCACAATAAATTTATTGTAGTAACACTCCTCAGTTGAGCAAGTTGAATGGATTTCTTTCTTGTAAAACCAAGAGGAAATCAAGGCATCAGATTACTAAAACACCCACCCATTCAAAGTAAATTCCAGCTCAGGGAATGGTTGGACATGTTTTTAATGCCTTCATAGAGAGAATAGCCTAATTGCTTATAGAAGGCATAATAAAACTTCACTCTGTTATAAACAATATAGCTCAATGATTAAGGTCACAGCCAAGGCACTCGCTGATTATTGGTATTCTTATGCAAAGCAAAATACTTACCCTTTTGACTTATGTTCATTAACTCTAGAATGTGAACAAAAAGTGATTCAAACACTTGAAAATGTTTCTGAGGACAAAGATAGCATAAGTGAAGTATAAAGAACAAAGAACCCTTCAACTATTGTCATTGTAATGCTTAAGAAATTCAGCGGTGGTTCTCAGAACTTG